TCTCTCTCTCTCTCTCTCTCTCTCTCTCTCTCTCTCTCTCTCTCTCTCTCTCTCTCCGTCTCTCTCTCCCTCTCCCTCCGCAGCAAAATTCAGACTCTAGTGCCGACACTTCAGCAGCCGCGTTCTGCTTTGAAATGTTTCTTTAGCTACGAGCTCTCATGCTAAAGCGAGAGTTGACTCCTCCCACACTAAGAAAACAGGAGGGGAGGAGTCAGCTGAGCTCCTGTGTAGCGGAGCACAGAGAGGGAGAGAGATTAAGTAAACAAACAAGCAGGAAAATGAAACTTATTGTCCTCATATTTTTTACCGACCTCAAAAAAAATTATCGTGCAATTAATTGATTTATTGTCTATCGCGACAGGCCTACTAACAGGTTGTGTTTGCAGGTGACGGAGACGCCTCAGAGGGAGGTGAAGAGGCTGGAAAGCTTCAAGTCGTGTCTGAGTCATGAGAAAGTCATCAAATCAGGTCAGCCTCTTCCTGCTTCTTAAAGTCAAATTTTATTTATTTATGTTTAAAGCTACCATCAACAAAGTAAAAACAGCTCAGCAGGTTCCAGTTTGTCAGATCGTAACAAAAATTCCCAAATCTTCTGGTTTGTTCCCTGTTTTAAAAGGGTTTTTTCAGGTTTGTATTTTTTATTTTGCACAAAATAACTACGACTTTGATGATTTATTTTCATCTGGAAACAAACAATAAAATAAAAACTAAAAACCTGAGTAACTTTTCCATCTTTGTGTTTAAATACGGAGGTCAAAGGCCAGCCCACAGGTGGATCTTATGTAACTGATCCATAGTATGAAGACACATTGATGCCAAAAATTTCATTCCAAATTTTTTTTAAAAATTTTTTTAACTGAGAAAAAAAAAAGTTCAAAACTACTTGTCTGATTCTAGCTGTTGTTTCAGTTTCAGATTTATTTATTTGTGTATTTCAGTTTCAAACTTGTGGCCCTGTTTTTGCGTGGGGCTGGGCTGCAGATGACAGGGGGCAAGGCATCATGACTGACAGCTCAGCACAGAATATTCCCAGCTGAACTGTGGGAACTGGAAATGTCTTTAAAACATCATCAATATTTTATGTGATGAAATAACGTTTCACTGATATAAGCTGCTGTTCAGTTATGAAGCCACGCCCCCCTGTATTTCTGAAACCACGCCCATGACATCTGAACTGAGCTAGAAGCTTGAAACAAAAAAAACAACTAGAATTTG